AAAGAAAGAAAGAAAGAAAGAAAGAAAGAAAGAAAGAAAGAAAGAAAGAAAGAAAGAAAGAAAGAAATGAAAAAGAGAGGGAAAGAGGGGAAAGGGGAATGAGAATGGCACGCGTGATTTTGCAGTTAGGAAGACTGAGCAGTCTGAGGTTTGAGGGGAGCCTGAGAGCTGTCCTGCCGTGAGCGCACAGGTCAACTTGCCTCTGTTGCTGGAGCTTACAGAAGACTAACCTCTTGTCAGTAATTTATTCCTCTCAGCAATTAGCATCAGTGTGTGTATTCGGGGGTGGGGACGGCAGTGCTGTGTACGTCTGTGGGGAGATATGTGTGAGTGAGGTGTGTGCAGTGTGTGTGTGTGTGTGGATTTTTAGTGTCAAGCTTTTGGAAGTCCCAGTTCCTATAAAAATGTCACATGTGGTGGGTTACACTGCAGGACAGGGTCCTCTGAACTCAGGAAACCCAGACCTTTTATAACAGGCAGTAGACACACACTCTTTACTCTCACGAGAGCCACCTCTAACTTCCAAGGCTGTTTGCTCCAATTGTTCTCCAAGAGGTGGGCCAAAACAGAGATGGTCTCTGCTTGGACAAGAGGGATCCATGCAGAACTGCCTCCTAATGTCTGTAGCAGGGAATTAAAAACATGTATATAGGGCTGGAGAGATGGCTCAGAAGTTAAGAGCACTGACTGCTCTTCCAAAGGTCCTGAGTTCAATTCCCAGCAACTACATGGTGGCTCACAATCATCTATAATAAGATCGGGTGCCCTCTTCCAGAGTGCAGGCACAAATGCAGGCAGAGCACAGTATATAGAATAAATGAAGGAATGAATAACTAAATAAATCTTTGGGGGAAAATAGCTGGCTGTGGTGGCACACACCTGTAACCCCAACACTCAGCGAGGTAAAGACAGGTAGATCTCTGTGAGTTCAAGGACATCGTGATCTACAGAGTGAGTCCAGGACAGTAAAGGCTGCACAGAGAAACCCTGTCTCAAAAATCCAACCAAAACAAAACAAAAACCAAATAACCCATGTATATAACTGGGATTGAGGGTTTACAGCAATTCTCTTGAAAGTAAACTAATCTTTGCTGCTTGCCAGGACCATTCACTTCTAGAACCTTACCAGAACAAGGTGAGGCCAAAGAAAGCTGTCCAACCAACTTCATTTGCTAGCCTCTGAAAAAGCCTGAACAAAAAAAAAAAAAAAAAAAAAAAAAAAGCATATATCAAGACAAACCTAGCCTTGTTTACAAACTTGACCTAGTACCAGAAAAGCAGGTTTTGGGGAGCCTGATCTGTAGCTGTTTTAACCTGAGTGTATTATTGCGATATCTGGGGTGGGGTGGGGTGAGCACGCAGAGTAAAGGGAGGTGGAAAGCAAACTTGTCCTACAAAGCAACTTATTCTCAGGCAAAAATGCACCAGAAACAAGAGAGAAACACACTGATCCATGAGGGCATCACCATGGCTCTTTAAGGAGAAGTGTTCAGTATGTTCCTGAGGTTGAGGTGGAAGGGAGCTCACAGAGCCTGGGCAGCCGGGCCTCTAGGCTGAGAAGATGCTCAAATTTTCACAGGCAGTTTATAAACACACAGTAAGTTATTCTCCAAACCACAAAGGAATTTTCAATAAGAACTCTACAGACTCATTAAGGTTAAAATGGATTCAAGTACAAAAAAGAAGAAGAAGAAGAAGAAGAAGAAGAAGAAGAAGAAGAAGAAGAAGAAGAAGAAGAAGAAGAAGAAGAAGAAG